CGTAAGTCACCCTGAGGCCTTCCAAAAAAATAATAAATGCTATCCCACTGGGAATTGGGCTCGGACATTCAAGAATTCAGCATTTATCATGGAAGGTGGGGGTGGGGGAACACAGACATTCCATTCATAGGAATCATTTAGAAAATTGGCTCTGGTAACTTCTCTTCTCTCAAATGGTCTTCCACAAAAGCTCCATTGCCTCCTTTAGAGTTTCAATGATTTTGTTATTAAGTTTGGACTTCTGGCTGCCGTCTCACCACCTACGAGGCCAGTGTTTCCTGATTCCTAGAACTTATTTTGGTTATGTTTGAAGGATCTACCCAGTCCCCTTTGCCAGAAAGCAATCTGCTGGGCATGCTTGACTTCTGAAGCCTATGGGATGGCTTCCGTGAAGTGTCATGAGCACCAGTGGCTTTCTCTGGGACCAGATGAGGTGTCATGGTGTCAGGACAGCTGTCCTTGGTGGGCCAGCATTCTCCATGCTCTGCTGTGCGCACGTACCCCAGCAGGCCCTTTGCCTCTTCTTCACCTGTGCTTGTTCCTCACCATGGCCCCTCTGGATCTCTGTAGGCCAGTGTAAAGCAGGCTTCCTGGAGTGTGTCCTGTCCTTGGAAGCCCCAGGCTGGGGAAGGTGGCACACCACACAACCAGTGCTGGTGTCTGGGCTGCAGGGAGCCCTGTCTGCTTGCATTGGATCTCTTCAAACAGTCAGGGTTTCAATCTGAGCCCCCTTCATGCTTAACAGTGAAAAGTATTCTGAAGACTCTGGGGGTTAGCTCAGAGCAATTTATCTTGCTTAACCACGATAATGCTAATTCATTAGACTATTGCATAACTTCGTCTTTATTAACATAATGTTTAAGTAGATTTTCTTAAAAGAATTGAAAGCTATCATCATGTTTAACTGGTTTGGGGAGAATTTTCATTTTGAAGGCACCACTGAAGGCAGGCACTTCTCTGGAAATCCCCCGGCTGTCTAATCTTTATGAAGACTAGAATAAAGAAACCAAGAGGATTTTGAAAATGAAATTTTAAGACTTAAATGGTGTTGGGTTTTTGTGCCATACAGCTGCATGGTGGCTTGGTCTGGGCAGGTGGCAACTGCCTGTTGGTGGCCATTTAGGAAAATTTGCCCAAATTTTACACCGTGTTGGAAAGGGGAATCTTTGCCGTTTCTGTTGCCCTTGACCCTGGATGTTTTTGTTCTGAGTTTGGTATCGGAGCAGGTGATTTTAAAATGCATTGTTCTTATTCTCCCTTTCCCTAAATCTCATGTTTCTCTTTGACACTATCATGCAAGAAATATCTTACTCCTGTAGCTTCTGGTAGTGACCAAGACTCAACATGTAGCTTTCTTTTTTGTTTGTTTTGTTTTTGCTTTTGAAACATGATCTTACTATGTATCACAGCTGGTTTTGAACTCACAGTTCCACTGCCTCTGTCTCCAGGATGCTGAGTTTATAGGAGTATCCCACCAGGCTTGGCTTGGACTACAAAATAATTTTCTGGTCCAAGCATCTTTTTGATATATAATGCACCCATTTACCCAAGAGATCTGTTCCAAGACCCCCAGTGAATCCCTGATACCATAGGTGATACCTGCATGAAATATGTTAAATTTCACCTTTTCCCATAGAAGAAACACTTATGGCTTCTCTTTGGCACAAGCAAGTCACCAACATTGTTAAGTAAAATAAGCATTACTTGAACTCATGGCTTTCAGTACCACAAGAACTGATCAAGACAGCTACTCAGTGATTGGTGTATACAATGTGCTTACCCTGGACAAAGGGATATTTCGTGTCCCAGGTAGGATGTGCAGAATAGCACAAGATATCATCATATCTACAGAACAGTGTGAAATTAAAAACCTATAAATTGTTTATTTCTGGAAGTTCCCATTCAGTGATTTCAGACTACAGGTGACCGAGTGTGATTGAAGTCATGGAAAGTGACAGTAGTCCTCTCATAGGACGTTGAATTTCCTGTCATATATTCTACCTTAGGCCACAACTCTCTAATCTGTGCTTGGGACTCCACCTAGAATTCCGTGTCTTTCTGTTTGAGGAGAAAAAAGGGTTTATTCTTGGTTCACTTCATGCCCCCTTCTTCCTCATCACTGAGGTTTACTCTTGTCAGCCAGAGGCCCACTGGTGGTACTGCTCTGCAGTGGGGAGGAATGAAGGCCCAGCCCCAGGGAGGCAGGCACACTACCCAGAGACCTGCTGCTCACAGCAACTGTAGGGCACAGGCCTGAGTCTCCAGGAGAGCTCATGTACGAGCAGGTGCTAGAACCCCGTCCCCCTCTGCAGCTCCAGCAGTCTCACAATTCAGTGAAAGTGGGATAGTGAAGCACATTCTTCCTTTCTTTCCTTATGTATACTTGTTGTTGAATAACTTGACTAGATGGTTTCAATAAATGATTACAAATTGTGTGGCTAGAAGACTGTGACCAATGAGTGGAGACTGGTTTAAAATAAAGGCCAAGGTTGGTTTTCATAGCAAGCCCAAAAAGACCGTGACGATGGAAGGGAGCCCAAAGCCAGGCTGGTGAGGTGCTAGTGTTATCAGTGTAGACACCAGCCAGAGGCCTCCATTCTGAGGAGGGCCTGTCACTGTCCCTAGAAAGATGGCTGTGTTAATTAAGTTTTCGTAAATAATTTTCTCCTTGGGAGGGCAAAGGAAGAAAATGTCACATTTCATAAATTCTTTTTTTTCGTTCACAAGCACAAAGTCTGTGCCAGAACCAGAGACTGGCAGCCCTGAAAGTCTATATTCACTGTCTGGCCTGACATGGAGGGCAGGGGAGTAGGAGCCTCAGCTGGGGTCTATGGAGAGGACTCCAGAAGGGTCCAGGAAAGCCAGGTATGGGAATCAGCTATTTCCTTTTTCAGTAGTAGAACACAAGCATTTGTGTAAGCTGGTGACTGTTCTTCCTTCTGATTGCATGATTGGGAGTCTGCTTATCAATTTTTCAGGAAGCCGTCTAATTACACAAATTAAAATTCAGAGGAAAGCAAAAAGAATGATTCCGCCTCACTTGGGGGCTGGGGGAGGAGGGTGCTTAGTTCGTGATGCCATCACTTTTCATCTCCATGGCTCTTCACAAAGATTAACTAGTTCTCTTATGGTGTGGATGAGGTGTGTAACCTGGAGTTTTGTTTTCACAGCAGAGTTAAGGAGTGGCCAGGTCACTCTGCAATGTGGACATCAGAGCTGCTGCCTGAGCATAGGAGTGGGGCTGGCCAAAGCTCTCTGATGGAATGTGCTCATGCAGACACACAACTGGCATCCATAGGTCCCCTCCATCTCATATCTACTTTGCCAAGAGTTAGGGACTCTCCTTGTGCATGGTTGCCTTTTACAAAGAGCCCAACTGCGAGTTCTACAAAATCCCACACACTGTAGGACAGTTCTCATCTCCTCACTGATCTCATGGTCACCCCAGGGTTTGGGGAACTTCCCAGTATTGGAAAGAGTTTGGCATCTGCTGGATGTTGTATTAATTATTTATGTGGTTGGAAATTGTGGTTTTTTTCCTCAGCACGCCCACCCCCACCCCTTTTTTTTTAAATCACATAATTATTGCCATAAATCTTTAGGGTGCATTTTCAGCATTGTTGCTGGGAAATTAGCCATCAAGTACCAGGAACTTGCCCACCTTTTAATAGTCAGAACTGCACCCTTGATTGACCCTTAGCATTTTGCATAATTGATGACCATCCATCAGAATCTGTGCTATTAACCCTTGAGGCTCACTTTTGTGTCCTGTCCCTTCTTTGTCCTAGCTAAGCCAGCTGAATAACTGAAGGCAACCTTTTCTGTGTGGGAGCACATGTGTGAGTGTGTCATTGTTGATGACTTTAAGATAACACTGGTTTGGTTATAGTTTTGGAATAAAATGGAGACCAAAGAATGGGTCCCCAATGTTCTTCATGTGGTAACAGATGGGAAGAAGGTAGGCCCTGAAACAGTGAACCAAATTCTAGGTCACTGGGTATCCACTGATCTGGGACCTCATTGGTACATTGAGTGAGAACAGGTGTGGATTAGACCTTTCCCTACCTCCTCTCCTGGTCAAGCATCAAAAGGACACTGGGACAGGCCCAGCAGCCACTGCTCAACCCACTGCTAACCTTTTCTAGCACACAAAGCTGGGACCAAATGTAGCCCCCTCTGCATTTGAAGAAGGTTCTAGAAGATGCACGGGGAAACCTTGGTTAAGCTAGTGCTGTGACTTCCATCTCCGCTCTCATGCAGTAGGGTGAGGGGCTTGTTGTGTTGAGCTGTGGCTTTGACTCCTGGCCCTCAGGTGGCTGTCGTGGAAAGCAGTTTTGTCAGGGTATGGCAGGAGGCCTGGAGAGAGCCTCTCATGTAGCCATGGTGAGTGTGTAGACAGCCATGTGGGATTGTTTGTCCTTTAAATAAAAGCAGCTCAAGCTACATACATGGGGTTGGGGAGGAATCAAAGACACTCTGCTGTGTACCCTTCACCTTGAGAACCCTGTGCTAAGGATGCAAGAACACTGGCACTGCCCCTCCCCTGCCCCGTCCCTGGGGTTCTATCACTTCAGGAACTTGGACCTGCTGCCCAGTGTTCCAGAACTGCCTGAACTTGCCCTGGCTCCGTTACACGTAACACCTCAGTGGCTCGAAGAAAGAAAGGGCAGGTTCAGCTAGGTTGCTTGGTCTTTGAGTGTAGAGTAGGATTTATGACAATCGAGCTTGGTCAGCTAGCTATTGGTGTTTATAGCCTGAAGTTAAGAGCAAGAGGCCTGGACGCTCTTTGCAGCTTTCAAAGATAACTGACAAATGTCTCCATGTTTGCTCACTTGCTTTGATACACTGTAGAAAGCAGGAGACTGTTAAGATGGAGAGCAAGCCCCATGTGCCCAGATGGCAGGTCCCCTCATAGAAAGTGGCAGTAAAGTCCTGACTGACCTGTTGGCCTGTGTCCTGGAGGTCTCCAAAGAGTAAGGATTCTTTTCTCCTTGTTTCAGGGTTCATAGTGGCGTAATGCACGCAGATTCCTGCGAGTTCCCCTAAGTTCTTAGAGGACTGCTTTGCCTTTTGAATCAGAGAGTTGCAAAGTTCGATAAAGAATGGCCCTTGTGGATAAGCACAAAGTCAAGCGACAGCGATTGGACAGAATTTGTGAAGGTAAGAGCCAGCGTGGTTGGCGGTTTTTAAAGAAAGACGCATGGCCCCTCAATCAAATCACCAAAGACCTGCTCACTTGAGTTGGCTGTGCCAGACTGTCCCATACCCCTGGTGCCAGGACCCCCTCCTCCCGCTCCACATCTTTCCACTGTCAGGCACCTTCTGTACCATGTCCTCAGCTACATTGAACCTGGCCGTCATGTAATAAGATAAGGCCTGGCTTCTGGGGTAGGGGTGGGGGCCAGGAGGAAAGTGGGGGGAGGGTGGTTGCCACGAGGCCCATTTCTTCCATACACCTAATATTATTTTGCATATGAAAGATGCTGTATATTAGGACCAGCTTGCTTTACTTCCTGAGGTTTCTGGGACTTTATCTGTTTTCAATTAAGATATTTATAACAATGAATTCCAAGATATTCCCGAGGAGCCTAGCATTGCTTCTTGTGATATATTCAAGTCCCTGGTATCTTTGAAAATGTCTGGAAGTGTTTTATTCATGAAAGGGAAAAATAAACACAATTAAGATCTAATGGAAACCTGGGGACAAAACTCTGAAATGTTGACTAAATACCATCCTCTTCTAATTAGTGAGTGGCAAGGAACCCAGAGCCAGTGGCTGGGGGTTCTGGGTACCTTCCATGCAGATTTTATTGCAAAGGAAACTGAGTGGGCTCAGCAGCCCTGCCAACCCCCACGTCAGCTAGGGCAGGAACAACACACCTTCCATGTCTTTCCCTGCAGCCACCCATATGGAATTGTTTGTCCTTTAAATAGACGTAGCTCAAACCACATGGGGCGGCGACGTCAAAGACATTCGGCTATGTACCCCACACTTTTTGAGAGCTCTGTAGTAAGGACGCAGAGGCATTGATGGTCCCCCATGTCTCTGGGATTCTCTTTCATTTAAGGAACTTGGCATTTAAGGGTTGTTTTTTTTTGTTTTTGTTTTTGTTTTTTTTTAATATTCAAAGTTTTCTGAAACATCCAGACTGTATTTATCAGGGGATAACATCTGCTTTCTTTCTATAGAGGTCTGGATATACATGTATATGTGCAGGGGAGGTGGTGGTGAGTGGATGAATTTGTTCCAGAACCATCTGAAAAAGTTTGTAGATACAGTGGTTTTTCTCTTGGTATCTATAGCGTGTGTCTCCTCTTAGGGATGTTTTTCTACATAACCACAATAGCATAATCACCCCCAAGGAATTTCAAGTTCATTGCAGTGCTGTCTGATACAGACTGCATGTTCACATTGCCCCCACACATCTGTTTTTAGCTATTTTGGTTTTTTATGTCTGTTTGCCTATGTCAGAACCCGTCAAGGGTTGCATTTTGCATTTGGCTGTCATGTCTCCTCGGTCTAAAGAGAGTCTCGGATGATACCCTGGCGTTTTAGACTTCACAAGGCATTGATGTAGTGGAAGATTCAGAAGCAGTTGATTGTAGGGGGTTAAAATTGACTTTGGTCTTGCAGTGACTTGCATTGGGTTTACCAAGTTCTCTCCTCCAGAATGCATTTGTGGATCAAGGTTAATGTCATGAAAGCCTATAAGCAGATACCACTCCTCCACCCAGCTATTTATTCTGCCCCAGGTATCACATCATATTCAAGAATGAGAGTGACGAGTTTCCATGGTTGGATAAACTCGACTTGGACGAAGCCATTGTTCATGCTCTCAGATGCTCTGCCAAGCATGGGTCACCAACCCTCCCACCCATTTCTACATCTGTGACATGGGATTTGCAGCCAATTTTAATAAGGCATGGTATTCCTAGAATCAGTAACATTGGTGTTTTTTAGCAAGCTTTTTGTTTTGTTTTGTTTTTTGGTGGCACTGAGGTTTAAACTAAGGGCCTTGAGCCACTGTACCAGCCCAAGTCGTTTTTTTTTTTAATTTCTTGGTAACCACTGACAGCAAATTTGAGCTGAAATTATGTTACTCTTCTATCGTCCTGCTCATCTGGTGTTTGGTTAGGTCACGGCTGCTCCAAGGTGCTTCACTGGTGCTCCTCCCATGTGGGAGCCGATAGTGCTGTGACATCTTTCAGAGGTCTGGAGGTGGTGCCCATTTCACAAGTGCTGCCAGCAAGGCCCTGGACAGCTGGCAATTTGTGCCCCTGAAAGCAGTGCTGTTCTCTCTTTGGCCTTTCCTTCAGATCAGCTCTGTGGATATAGCTATTTGTTCTGCCTAAAGGCCTCCCATAACTAAATGCATGTGTGTGCACACACAGACACACGCTCACAGCTTTGGATTCTCTTCAGTCTCTGTTCTGTCAATCCTGTGTCACCCGTAAGAATATCACGGTGGCTGTCCAGAGAGCCTGTCCAGTGGTTCTGCCTTTGTCCATAGCCTGTACCGCACCACAAAGATACTTCCTATGTTCCTTGGAAATGTTTTTAAAACAATTGACTAAGTGCATGAAGCCATCCTAAGCTTTCCCAGGCTAATAGGACCTTTGCCTTTCTGTAACTGGTTTCTGGAAAGCGAAACTCCTTAGAATTCCCTGTCCCGCCTGCTGTACATCCCTTAGTGCAAAACCCTGGACATGGGTGCCAAGCCTCTCCCATTTCTACCTGAGCCAGTCTGGAGAAATCTAAACATCATTCTTGCACGGATACTTCCTCCAGAACTTTCTGCTGTCCCCTCTCTCATACAACATTGAGTTCCCAGGCCCTTTGAAGAGCTCCTGGCTGTTCTCCTCTGTGGCCTCTGGATAAAAGCAAGGAAAGATGGTGTGAAGCTTCATCACTCTATACATCCAGAATCCAGTGTGGGGCTTAACCTCACCCCCCTCAGTGGGGTGTGGGAGATAGATGGGACACTGTTCTGAAGTGAAGTCTTTGGGACGTCTGCTGGAATAATGAGTAATCTTTTAAAAGCTGACTCCAAAACCAAATTTCAACTTTTCCTTTTTTTAAAGCAGCCCTTTTATTTTGACTTGTTCTCTGTCTTTCTTGATGCCCACTATCAAACAGTCCTGGCATTTTGCAGTGTAAGAATAAATTATAGAATGCCCTTGAATAGCCTAGGCTGGCCAGACCCACATCACGGGCTTCTCTGGCTGACGGATGATTTCGGTGTTGGTGTCCCCTCCCTTTAGTTTGCTGGCATAATCGACACATCAGCCAGAGAGTTTGAATACCTTCTTGGGTCATGCTAGCACTGGTTTGGCCACAAATACTTATTGACCAGAGACTCCACCTTGCAAAAGTTTAACCCAGGGAATTAGTTTCCACAATCCTGGGCATGAGGAACTGTACCACACCTCAGTGGCTCTGCTGATGACTATTTTGGTTTCTTGAGAGAGGCTATAATATATTGTTATATATCCCAAGCCGACCACAAGTTCGTTATCCTCCTGCCTCAGCCTCCCAAGTGCTGGGATTATAGATGTGCTCCACCATGCCTGGTAATGTTACGTTGTTTTGTTCGTGATGCTGAGGATCAAACCCAGGGCTTCGTGCATACTAGCAAACACTCTGCCATTTAGCCCTGTCATGTTCCCTACCTTTGCTGATGGTTTTTGTTATACCATATTAATGAGAGTTATGGTGGAGTCAGTCACAAAACACCATCCTTTCCTGTGGCTGTTGAGGGTGCAGTTGGGGCGGTGGGGGGAGTGGATAGTAGATATTTCATTTTACTTCATTTTGTTCAAATGTCTTAGAAATATGGAAAGGGGGGGGAAACGGTTTCAAAGATGTTACTAGCTGAGCTATAGTAAGTCCTCTTTATGAAGTAACTCATTCCTGGTGTGGCGTGGTGAAGAAGTGATATGCATGGTGATAAACATTTCTTACTTCTAGAATGAGCTCGTGAGCACAGAATAAATTGAGGGATGAAGGATGGCTGTTCTATGTCAACTGTCAAGAGAAGTCACAAAGAGCTTCGGCGATGGCAGTGGGAGCAAACTTTTGCTTTCTTTCATGGAAAGTGTTCTGAGCTCTTAATGGGTTCAGCATCAGAACACTCCCTGGGAAAGTGCACTGGTGGTCCCAGGTAGACCAAGGGTCAGAGGGGCTGACTCAGTCATCACTGGGTGATGGATCTTCCAACACCTGTCCATCAGAGCCCACTTGGAAGAATGGTTTTTCCTCCCTGTAGGAGGATTGGAGTCCACAGCCTTTTTTGTTTCATTACATTGTTTTTAGCTGGATGCTTTTGTTTGGGGTAGCTGTTTTGTTTCACCTATCTTTTTGGACTACATTACACAGTTACTAGTTGTTAGGTTTCTAAAGGACTTTGTATGGAAGCCTGCTGTCTATAGGTACTTCTTCTGATCATTCCCATTCAATCTTTTTCAAGCTCCCCAAAGTCGATTTTTAAAATGGGATTTATAATGTTGCTATACATTTTAATTATATGTTGGGATCAGGCAGTTATGCACATTTCCAGTAATTAAGTGATTATCTATAATTACATAAGCCGTGTAAATATACAATAGTCAACTAGACATGGCTGAAAACTCCATAGTACAAATGAATATTCTGAGACAATGTTCTGCTAACATAAAGGCAGGGAAGCCACCATACATAGGAATGCAACCATTTGCAAGTGGTAAGAGTTGCCTGTTTTGCCTTATCTGGGGATAGTTTTCAGATGAACTGGAGCAGTGCCCTCCCCTAAGGAACACCCACCCTGTTCTTCCATTGGCACCTGGGGACTGGGCTCATTCACAGTGTTGCCCACACTAGTCATCCCCTCCCTTCTACAGCTAAGAATCAGGCTCATGTTTGAAGTGTCTGCTCATCGTTTGTCAGGTGCAAAGGTAAGCTTCCTTTTGCACTTGGCTGTTTGCTGATGGGCAGACTTCTTTGCTCACCAGGTCTCTCAAAGCAATGTGTTAATACCACTTAGGTTTTGCTCTGGGGCTCCAGAATAGGCTCAGGGATGTGTGGTGAATTGATATCAGGGCCTGAGGTTGGGAGTGCATTGCAGTCTTCTCTCTGCCGTCTTAAACCACCACCACCCTGCTCAGCCCCCAGTCACGCTGTCACC